ATATATATATATATATATATATATATATATATATATATATATATATATATATATATATATATATATATATATATATATATATATATGCCATTATAAATTTTAACATATATACATAATTCCAGAAACCTAATTTTCTCATTTTAATTAAGATAACAAAAATTAGTCTTTCTTCACTCTTTGTGAGATAACAATGTCTTTGTAATTTTAGGGCCACGGTCCGGTCGAGCATCTACCGAACTGAACCGGACCTACCGGGTCCGGCGACCATCCGGTTCGCGACTCAGCAAACTCGTACCGCTTACCGTCTTGCCGACTGTGTGAGTGCGGAACCCAGACACGTCCAAGCACACGTGGCGAGAAGACGCACACGTGTTTGTCCCGCGCTTGGCCAACGAGCCACGTGGTGTTCGCCTACAGCTGATCGTCGGGAACAGCGACCGTATAAACCCCTTCCTCTTGTTATTTGCTGTTCTTTTCCTCGAACACCAAGCCTTCAACAGCAACCAGGAAAAATGATGAACCTTGTGACGTTGGGCCTTCTCCTCTCCTCCCTCGCCGCTGCCGGCGTCTGGTCGCCTCACCACGAACCCAAGCCCAGCCATCACCAGCAGCGCCACCCCGCCGATGACCACGTCCTCCGAGAAGGCCATCGCGTCGTCGTCGTGGAGTATGAGCGCCAAGTCCCTCCTGACTTCGCTGAACAGGTTCTTCACCCTGCCGCCACCCACCGGCTCATCGAAGAAGCCAAGGATAAGATTCAGGAAGCCGCTTCGGTCCTCCCTAACCTCGGCCAAGGTGTCTCGACACCCCCTGCGCGGCCGGATGAAGCGCAAGCAGCCGGTTCCGCGAAGAGCATGATATGTGATGCCTATGGCGTGTGCAAGGAGAAGGTCGCTGCTCTCATCGGTAAAAGTAAGGAGAAAACGACCGAGATCGAGGATATCTCGAAAGATGCCGTTAAGAAGGCAGGCGAGAAACCTAGCCAGCTGAAGGAAGGCGCGAAGGGCGCTGCGAGGGACGCTGAAGAGAGAGCATCGCAACTCAAGGAGAGTGCAAAGGATACTGTCAAGGACACTATAGACGCTGCCAAAGAGAAGGCTTCCATGGCGAGGGACAAAGTGGAGAGCACCATAGACAAAGCTTCACAGATCAAGGAGGATACCAAGGATGCCATGGAGAAGGTAGTGGAGTCCGCGAAAGAAACAGGGCAGGATATAGCTCGAAACATCTCGGGTATCGCAAAGAGGGCAGAGCACAAAGCCGAGAAGAAGGCAAGAGAAACACGAGGCAACCTAACAGACATAATTAGACGAGCAAAAGAAGTGGCCTTTGACGCCGCAGTTTATGTTTGGGCGCCGGAGACTGGGCAGGCTGCGGCCGCGATACTGCACCTTCTTGGCTTCGCGACCGCGTACGGGGCCTCTGTGTGGGTGACATTTGTGTCGGGCAACGTCTTGGCGACGGCGCTACCGAGGCAGCAGTTCGGGTTGGTACAGAGCAAGCTGTATCCGGTGTACTTCCGACTGGTGGCATACAGCACCGCCCTTACTCTTGTAGCGCATTTCTTCGGTCGTGACCGGAGAATTCTGGCTGAAAGAGTGCAGGGCTACAACTTGTTCGGTGCTCTGGTGCTGGTCCTGATTAATATGTTCTTCCTGGAGCCTAAAGCTACAAAGGTGAGTCGAAGTTGCTACCGAGTCGCCTTTCTGCCGCTACGCTGCCTGTCTAACTTGTCTAAACTGGAAGGTTATGTTCGAGAGAATGAAGATAGAGAAAGAAGAAGGGAGGGGGAGGGACATGGCAGATGTGATGGCGGAGCCACCGGTGATGGCATCGGCCCCAGTTGGGACGACGACGACAGCAACGAAGACGGCGAGGGCGACGTCAGCGTCGGTGGAGCAGGACGGGGTAAAGTGTGGATTGGTGCATCTAAACAGAAGGCTGAAGAAGCTCAACACCTACTCATCCCTTCTCAATTTACTAACGTTGATGAGTCTCTCCTGGCACCTGGTGCACCTCGCACGGCAGTCGCAGGTGAGCTGTTGATGCCGGGGTCTTTGTGAACTTTAAGTCTGAACAGTTCCTGAGCTAACAGAAGTACGGAGTACTCCATACTGAAAAGCTTTCGGTGATTGCGAAGATGGTAGCCTTGTAACTACAGGATTTCCCGTCTATATGAATTAGAAGTAGTAGCTAATTGAAAGATCGGAAGAAGCCTCTAAAGGCCAATATCTACGCACGGTTCAATGTCTCGTTTCGATACCAAATCCCTTAATTATGAGCGACGGAGTTGCTAACCCAATCAATCATCTAAAACGAATGCATTCAAGCGAACGTTTTACGAGGGAAAAAGGAAGAATTTTGTAACGAGGGGTCAGTCAGATCTATGACGACTAAAAGAGAGCAATCAAATGCCAAATTCTTAGATGAACATACGCGACGCAAGTTCATCGAAGAAAAGGGGTTTGGGTATCACGGAGAAAGGAAAGAGAGAAGGTACAGAGGATAATACCGAGGATTAGAACAGAACGGGACCGGCTTTTAGGGTAAACAGAATAGGGGTCCGGGCCAGATCTTGAGGAGGCAGAAGACAAGGAGGTCGTCCATCGCCACGAAGAAGGCGGTGGAGCCGCGCCATCGCTTGGTGGCGACCTCCTTCCTCTTGCTTTTCTCCTCCCTCTTGCCCTCGCCGAAGGCTCGCGCTCGCCGATTGCTTCTCCGTCCCTTTCTTGGCTTCCCGTCCCATGTTAAGGGTGGTAACAGGCCGGGTCGGATCCTGAGTGCAACTTGCTCGATGAGAGACCCGATAGGTGGTGTAGGGTTCGGCTAGTGGTATCGGATTGGGTCCGGGGCGGAGCCAATTCGAGAAATCCGATCCGATCCCAAATAGGTCCAAAATACGTAAGTGGTCGACACAAAATGTCAATTATATAGTTTTGTGCGAGCAAATTAGACGAGTAATGAAATTACTCGACAAATATTATCATAAATAGAAAATAATGTTTGTTTGTATGTCCTATTAAATATGAAATCATAGGGATTTTATGATTTTATTATTGTTATTATATAAAAGTACATACATTTTATTTGAATTTGATAATATAAATAGGGTTTGGGTTATTGGTTGATACATTATATAAAAAATAAAATATGATTATACATGTATTAAAATACTAAAGAATTTAATAATATTACAAAATATTATATAAAAACAATGGAAAATAATTATATAATAAAAAATTATATAGGGTGATTTAATCAGCCTAAATAATATTTTCACATCATTTTAGTTGATTTGTACATGTTCAAGCACTCATACTGCTGATTAAAGAATAGGGATAATAAGATAAGTATATATTGGAGGACTCCAGATTTTCTAAAACTTTTTTATATTTTCTCTATCTATATTCTAGCATATATATCAAACATTATATCTAAAAAATCTTAATTATTGAGTTTTTATCTAATGGTATCTCCCAAAATGATTTTTATCTAGGAACATCTTTTTTTTTTATCATTTTAATGAGAATATATATATTATCATCCATCAATTATTCTCGATCATTAATGTATTATTATTATATTTATCTAAAGAAATAAGAAAGGGACGATAAGCGGAGGTGATGATGATATGCTAATGATTGATAAAGAACACAGAGATATTATTATGAAAATATCTTAAAAAATATTCTCAAGGTAGAAACGATGTCATTGGTAAAATTCTAATAATAAAAAATATTAGGTAAAATATCTCTAAGCATTTGAACAAAATGCCCTGTTAATATATACCTTTGGCATCTAAGCAATTCCAATTTAATTAGGTATCAATAGGTTGGCACTTAGCAGGGAGGATGGCATTTACTAACATATAAACAAAATATAAACAAGTTGTGGATCTATTTTGGCAACTTTGATTCTGCATAGGTTGGGTATAGGTGGGAATAAAGCAGCAGACATGTCAGAGTGCCTACTGAGGCTTTGATTCTATGTTGGCATTGAGCATTAATGAAGCAGACAAAAGCTTCCATAATACTATGTTTCTATTCCCTTTCCTCTCTCCGAGATCAAGGAATCTTTAGGCCCCTCCCTCCCCTCCTCCTCTTGTCCCAGTGGAATCATTAGTGACAGGATGAAGTGACACAGGAAGTGATGGAAGGTGGGAGACTCGGAAACAGAGAGAGAGAGAGAGAGAGAGAGAGAGAGAGAGAGAGGGAGAGAGAGTAAGAAAGGTTATGATATCATTTGCATTCACTGAATGCTCGCAGTTTCCACAAGTATGGCCTGGTAGTTGGCTTGTGCAGAGGAACAAAAGCCACCTTTCCTCTGAAAGTTCTTACAGTGAGAAGAAGGGCTGCTGTTGGAGATGTGATACTTCTCTTTTCCACCGTTCCCATGTCATCTCTTCTCTTGTGGAACTGCAAACCTCATTGCTTCTCTCTCTTCATGCAAACCAATAATACTTTGTAGTATAATTTATATTGTCCTTCTCCACTTCAATCTCCCATATGGTGATTGATCTGAGAACAGAGAGCAGAAAAGAGCACCTCAAAAGTCTATTGCACCCTCCCTTCTCTGTCTCTCTCTCTCTCTCTCTTTACATATCTACCTTTCTTCTACCTACGACTGCAGACATCCAAGAGCTTCTTCCTCCCTGCTACTATCTCGTCAAGGAAGTCGTCCAGCTGCAAAGCTATGTTCTCGGTTCCATTCCTGAGTAGGCCAAACGAAACTTTCAAGCTCTCCACCCTCTCCTGGATGCTTCCGCTTTCTGCGTCATGCCCTCCACTCCTCTCCAGCTCCTCTCTGAGCTCTTCTAAACAAGCCCTCACCCTTTGGAACTCGAACAACAGGATTCCTGGCCGACCACCCGCTCTCTCGACCCCGGCTTCCACCCTCTGCTGCAATCTCGACGTGGACACCATGAAACCTGAGCCCGAGAACAGTGAGCCCTCGCCAGCAGCAGACGTAGTGGAGCTCGAGTTCGGCCACCAATGCACCAAACCCCATACAAGGATCGTCAGGAGGAAGCAACTCACGCTTCTGCTTGCGAGTAGCACTCCTGTGAATCCATTGAACCCGTTTAGCTTAGATTCGGCAGGGATCTTCTCGTCGAACCGGAGAGACAGAGGTGCGATCCTCGTCTCCACCATCACTCTGTTCTCCCCTTCAAGCCCCACGAGGCCTCTCCGGCAGACTGAGATCGCCCGCATCACCTGTTACATTTAGAAGCAGGACAATTCAGATGGTTCTTGGCAAAGAAATGGTCGTAGAACGAGTGAGGATTTCTCCAAGTAGGACCTGTCGGGTGAGCTGAGGATTGCTGCGATGGCTATCGTCGAGCGCGGAGATCATGCCGGCTCCGGCAGCGTAAAAGGTCTCCATGCTCGAGATGCCTGTCTTGAGGGCATGACAAGCCTCCCAAAGGCGAGAGCTCTCGTCCATGCACTCGTCGAGCCACTTCTCACCCGCAGGCAGATGGAGCTTCTGGACTAGGTGGGTGAGGTTGGCGTGGACCGACCGCAGCAGCGCGATGGCCTTCTCAAGGAACTGAAGTGACATGAAGTTGTTCGACTCGAAAGAGCTTTCAAGATCATCGAGGCCATGCGCAAGGAAGGCGTAGAAGCCATTGACAGAGCTGGAAGAAGGCTTCATGAGGTCTATATGACTGTGACCGAGGGAGCAGATGGGATGTGAATTGGGTGAAGCAGAGAGGAGGAGATTTAAAGAGGAGGAGGAGGAGGAGGAGGAGGAGGGAGGGAGAGGGGGGTGGCTTGGAAGCTCAACTTCCTAAGCTGAAAAGGACAGCTCGGGAGCAATCATGGGTGTTTCCTTTTGAGGGGAAAAGATTAATGGAGTTGTGCCATTGGCATTGTTTACTCCCATGGCTTCTTCTCCTCCTCTTCCTAGTTTCAAGAGAGGGGAGGATGTCTTCCTCCTCTTCTTGCTTTGTGCTGAGTGTTGGTTTCACAGCCTCTTCGTGGGAGATTGGGGGTGCAATCCTATCTATGTTGACTGACTTGACCGGTATCTCTTCCGAAACGTAGAAAAGAAACCTTGTTATTCTCATCTGACTGCTCTCTGCATCTCTGCTTCTTTTCCTGAGGGCTGCAGCTCCATGTGAGGTCCATGTACAATCTCACTGGGTTGGAACAGGTCATGGCATCTTCCAAGAGGAGGAGACGATGGTTGGAGGCCGTGGGTGCTCTCCAATTGGCCAAGCAGTGGGCGGGTTCCTCTGGTCTCCAGTCCAGCTAAAGCTTGCCATATGTCAAACTGGGTTCGGTGTCGAGAATGATTGGCTCATGTGGTGAGGCCATTTCAAGGCAAGAGATGATGGTGGTGGGTCAGCAGGGTTAGCTCAGTGGCAATGGCGATTTGACCTGTCTTCATACAAAACCCTAAAGCCTTGTACTGCGCCTGCTCCGTACGAGGGCCCAAATCTGTGCTCACCACTTGACGAAGAATAAGAATGATGGATTCCATTGCATCAGTCCACACTGCAAATCTTCTTTTGAGGTCCCTTTCCACCTCCACCTCCCCCGCCCTCTCTCTCTCGCTCTCTCTATGCTCGTGTGTTGATTAGAGAGGAGGGATGTGCCCGTGGGTTTTTGGAGAACGGGAAGGAGAGATTGGGGAGAGCACGTTGGTCTTTTGAGATCTCATCGGAAAGTGGAGGCTAATGAGCATTCGCACAATGGGTGGCCTTTTTATTATGGCCACTAAGAATAACCTACACTGCTATACTGCTACTAAGTAATTTTTTTATCAGAATTATCAGATAAAAAATAAATTATTATCAGAGAGATATTTTGAAGAAATAATAATAATTTTGATTCAAAATCATAAATAATAGAATGAGAATCTGAATCAAACTAAAATAGCCTAAAATCAATTTTATTCTAATTCAAAATTCGACATAATTGAAACTACTGATTCTAAAATTGAGAATGGAGATATGCCAAAATGTAAAGCCTTCAACAACACTACTATGAGCATGAAGTATAGAAAGAGATTACAAACAGGTCTACAAAAGGAGGAATTGAATCCTTGCTGTTTGAGAAAGCCTTTTTTCATCACTGTAGTAGAGAGCCTATTTCATCCCACAGAAGAGCCACCCACCCACCATATATAACATCCTCATGAACAAAACATTGATCTTATCTCTTTCACCCCATTGGAGACATATGTTGTTGCTGTTGCTCTTCTGAGCTGAACGAGATAGCAATTCTGGTGTTTACATGAGTGAAACTTAGAGCATATCATGAAAGGTGCAATATCTAAGTTGTAAGATGTTGTAATTAGCTATTAAACTAATCCATAAATTAAACATAACATCAGGTTTACATCAATTGACGTGATTCCAAGCTTAACATAATGTAATATGACATGGACATCACATTATTTGGCATTTACCTAACATGACTTATCATGATCATAACATTTGTTAGATTTTACGATCCTATCTAATTAAATCATATATATTATAAATATAATTAAATTTTGATGATGATTATTGATTAATATATAAAAAAATTAATTATGATAAAATTTCTTATGAGATAATTTTGATGTGAGGAATTCTTCTAATTACTTATCCGAGACCTTCTGTTCTCACATAAAAATATATACAGGAACTAAACACATAATACAACACATGATATGTGGATATGTGATATAATAAATAGATTATATATGTTCTATTGTCTCTATTTAGTCATATAAACTAGTTAATGAGATATTATATATTTATTTTATGTGACAAATAATAAGAATAAGAAGAGAGAATAAGACGAGTATAGTTCTTAGATTGATATTACTAGAGATCTCAGATCCAATGATAATATACTTACAAATCAGATAAATACTTAATTTTAATTTAGAGATATTTATTATTTAATTTTAGTTTTTGATTTTAAAATCTTTTATAAAATAATAATATATTATGATTTTTATGTTGACTATCTTAACTTGTATTTGACATGAAGTAGCATAAGAATTACCCATTTCATTATTAAAAAAAAAACCACCATCTATCATCTATGACGCATAAATGGTGATCAGTAGATAAATAGTATTATTTTTGTTGAAATACTAATATACTAAATTACATTAATAATACATCATAACACAGTATTTGATAAAAGTTATATACAATTGAAAATGACAGGACAAACATGCTAATCATGCATGATCAACTACATGAAGACATCAAAAGGTACATTATTATTGCTTTCTATTAATGGAACAATTATTGCTCATTATAAGTATCCGGGACACAAAAATAGATATAGAAAGCCCATAAATAGGTTGATAATGGAATAATTCAGGCTCTTTGTTGTTCATCAGAAGAAATAAATATACTTGCTTGTTTTTTTTCAACAATAAATATAAAACACATGTAGCTGTGCAGCAACATTTGTTGGCAATAATAAAATAGTTATTTCTCCAATCTAATTTTATCAAGAGAATCGATTCATCATAATTATATATATCTTTTCTTTATGCTCTAAGTAGTGACAATATCTAAAAGGAATTTATAAGATAAGTACCCATCTTTTGGACCCCCTAATTTGCCTATTGGGTTTTATTTATATTAAAATATAAAAATGATGATAATATTAAAATATTAAAATATTAAAATTATGATAATATTAAGCATTAAAAATGATGATAATATATATATTTTTTATTTATATTATAATATGATAATATTAAAATAAAATAAATAATGGCTTATCAATTTATATTTATATTAATATATTATCAAGAATAATTCTTATTCTATTTTAATATTATCATATTGTATGTTATAGTGATTTTCTAGACATAGTTGGGTAGGTAGATTAGTTATCCATTTGTACCCTAAAATTAGTGAACCTCATATCCTAACAAAAATTTTAATTCTATATTTAATCATAATTTTAAATAATCCTAAAACTAAGAGATTGGGTGTGTGCAATTTGGCATGAGATTTTATAGACAATCCACTATGAAGATCCTCACATAGTAAATGTTATGAAGAAATTCTCACATTGATCCTTTTTAGGATGTCAAATCACCCAATTTTGTGTCTCTCATTATCTTGAGAATTTATGGAATTATAGCTTGATGAGAAAAACTGTAATTTGATGAACTTGATAATTTATATCTTATTATTTTGTGCCCATTATTGAGATAACACTTAGGAAATTCAAGAAATAGAGATTGTTTATCTCCATTTTATGAGGTAGTATGAAATTTCTACTAATTTTAATTTGATGGATTTTCCATACATTAAAGCAAAAATTAAATATTAAAGAACATATTTAATATTTCAAAAATTGGGAAAATGTTTTTTTTTCATTTTTTTAAGGCTATCAAAATGAGAATAATAGAAAAAGAAACTCCGTGTGTAATTGTACCGCGGGAACAGTATAACCTAAAATGTCTTCTCGCACGCGTAAGGATATGCTCACTCCCGGTCTTCTTACCCCTTTACGCCCCACCTCTCCCCCCCCGCTCGTGCGCCATTAGCTCCCACTTCTCTCCCGTTCCGAGCCCTCCTCGCCCAGCTCCGCCCATGTCGCCCGCTTCCCCTTCTCTCCCCTCTTCAGGTAAACGCTTACTCTCGCTCGCTCTCTCTCTAGGGTTTTCGCTTTTTTCTTCTTCTCCTTCTCCTCCTCCTCGAAATCTTTCGATGTCACTTCATTTGACGCCAATATCGCCTCCAAACTCTGGCAGATTCGCGGCTCAAATGGCGGAAGAGGAAGCGCGACGCCAATTCCAGGCGCCAGAAGCCGCCGGACGACGACGAGGATGACGAGGACAACGAGGATGCTGGCCCCGCCGCGGAGGAGGCGCAGGAGGACGGCCACGACTCCCCCGCGAACCCCGCCGCCGCCGACCCCGTCCTCGACCTCCGCGGGTCTGAGGTCCTTTCCGACGGTGGCCACCGGATCTCCGACTTCCCAGCCGCCGTACGCCACATCGTCAATCTCCCCCACCCTTCCGTCCTCGCCCTCGTTGCCGCCGAGCGCTCCAACTTTGCAGCCCGCCCGTGGGTTCCCCCCCTTTTGGAGAACATCTCTTACGGCCAGCTGCAGGCCCTCTCAGCGGTGCTCCCCGATAACCCTTCGCTGCTGCAGCCGTCAGACCTTGAAAAGCCCTCGGCTTATGTTTGTACACCGCCGCCTCTCATGGAAGGGAAGGGCATGGTGAAGCGGTTCGGCAAAGAACAGCTTCTCCTTGTTCCAATGCACTCCGGTCCGTAGTAGCAGTGCTTGGATTTTTTGCTCGTCGTTTCTTTCCGCTCTTAGAAGCTTTGAGGTCATTTTCATTCTAAAAATTTCTTCTTTGACGTCTTTAGATTGGTTTTCTGGAAGCACTGTGCATCGGCTGGAGAGGCAAGTTGTGCCGCACTTCTTCTCAGGGAAATCTGGCGATCACAGCCCAGAAAAGTACATAGGGCTTCGAAACAAGATAATTTCCAAGTACCTGGAGAATCCCGGGAAGAGGCTATCTTTTGCGGATTGCCAAGCGTTGGTTCCAAACAATGAGCTTTATGATCTTAGTCGAATAGTTAGGTTTCTGGATCACTGGGGGATTATTAATTATCTTGCAGCTTCTTCTGTGCATCGTGGTCTTAGGATGGCTGGCTCCCTTCTTAAGGAGGATGTCAGTGGGGAGCTTCAGCTTCAGACTGCACCACTGAGGTCCATAGACAGTTTGATCTTGTTTGATAGACCAAAATGTAGCCTCCGTCTAGATGATGTTGCTTTGCTTTCTCATTCTGCATCAGTAGATTTTGATGCTGGCATTGGTGATTTGGATAGTAGAATTAGGGAACGGTTTGCTGAACATACATGCAATTTCTGCTCTTGCCCACTCACCAATTTGCACTATCAATCACAAAAAGAGGTATGTTTTTCTTTTATCTGCTCTGTTTACTTTTAATTTTACCTTCTTACTTCATATACATACAAATAGTATATAAATAATGAATGTCCTAGCACAATGCAGTTTGTTGTTACGTTGTTGTTTGTTTAGTTTCTCACTAATGTGAATGTCACCAAAACTTATCATCATTTTGGATCATATATTGCTCCATTGTAGTAATTACATTGCATCACCATAATTTTTTATTTTTCATTACTCTTTCCATTTACTATCATTAAATAGAGGTAAACTATCAGTAGCATACTTTGTAGATTTTGCTGTATATTTTTAAATCATTTTTCATGCTTTATCTCACAAGTCCACCTCATGCTTCTAATATTAGTTTTCTCTATGATAAGGGATATCTTCACTATAAACAGTCTCATTAAGACATTGAAAATGATTAAGATTGGCAAGTGCTTTGATCCGCTTAGTGGCTTAAACTGAGGAATACATGTTCTCACATGATTATCAAAATTTGCACTACCACAGAGAGAGAGAGAGAGAGAGGGGGGGAAGGGCCCTTTATGTTCTATTCTGCTTCATACATGCATGTGCCGATCATGATTTCTATATTATATAACTAAAATGTACTATGCATCATATATATCATGGTCTACTAACAAATATGAATAAATGAGAATATCATCTTTTCTTTTCTACCTTCTTCACTTGTCTGGCCATTGATTACTACTCCATGAACTAGGTGGTATTATCTGATTTTCAACTTTTATCATTGATTCATGATGGTGATTTCACTAGTCATTTAGTTTCTATATTTTCAGCATAAACCTAGCAAATGCTATGGAGTGCCAACCATAATGGACAAGTTCCAACTCCCTTGACTGCTTATATCTGTTAAATTCTGATTTTTTTATCATATTAAGCTGTGAAATCCTTTGAACAGGATGATATTATGCTTTGCTTGGACTGCTTCCATGATGCAAAATTTGTTACGGGCCATTCGAGCCTAGATTTTATAAGAATGGATTCAAGAAATGATCATCCAGATCTTGATGGGGATAACTGGACAGATCAGGAAACATTGCTGTTACTTGAAGCCTTAGAAAAATATAATGAAAACTGGAACGAAGTTGCAGAATATGTGGGCAGCAAGACAAAAGCACAATGTATATTGCATTTTCTTCGCCTTCCGATGGAAAATGGTCTACTAGAAAACATTGAACTTCCACATATGCCCACTTCAGTTGATTCATCAAATGTACCTGATCCCGTTATTCAAAATTCAAATTCTAATGGTAATATCGTAGGTAATTCTTAAAGAATCTATTTGGAGACTACAAGAAAAGTTTATTTTGAACTAATTACCTTTTGTACTTTGGTCTAAAACCTTCTTATGCTAATTGTGTTATGATTAGGCAATCGAGATTTCTGTAATGGTAGCGAGCTCCCATTTTCAAATTCTGCCAATCCAGTTCTGTCCCTGGTGAGTAGTTGAGTTTCTGCATCTTTGTGTTTTCATTTCATTGCAAAAGAACAGAATGAACGCAACACATAAGTCTAGCTCCAAGCAGACTTCTTGGTTGCGTATATTTATGCTGATATTAACCTTGCACCATGTTGTAATTGGTGAGAGTGAAGTCAGACCAAATGGACTAGATTTAGGTTCTGATCCACTGTGATTACAAAACTTTGTTATCACTTAGTCAACTGGAAAAACATAATAACTACAATAGGTGCCCTGGGAATAGGTAATCTTAAATTTGCCTATGTTGGTGCTATTAGGCTATAAATCTGGGGACAGACGTACTGAAGAGAATGCTCAAACAAACCAGGAGCCTTACATAAACGTTAATATTCATATTGTTGACCTTTGTAGAAGTTGGTTGTGTATATTTATGCTGATGTCGACCTTTCATTTTGATGTTCTAATGGTGAGAGGGAAGACGGACTAAATGGACTAGTTGATTTAGGTTCTGATCTGCTGTGATTACAGAACCTTTATGAAGGCAGGGGTTTGATTGCTTGGTCAACAATAAAGGCTCAGGGACTACAATGTATGTGTGCTTGGAATGGGTGGTCTTAACTTTGCTTATGTTGGTGCTATGGCCCTAGATCAGGGAGATTGAACTACAGGAACCATTTGTGAATGCTCAAACAGCTATGGATCCTTATGGTGCTATGGCCCTAGATCAGGGAGATTGAACTACAGGAACCATTTGTGAATGCTCAAACAGCTATTGATCCTTTTTTGAACATTCATCTTGATATGCTTTACCTCCTCAGTACCTAAAATTCCTCCTAGTGATTGATTTATACATCGACCTTAATGCATTATAATGAAACCTATGATAAATAGCTTGGTTTTTGTTCATTCAAAGTTTCAAATCTTGCTTTTGCCCAATTGGATATGGAGATTCAATTCAATGATATCAATTTTAATAATTTGACTCCAAATTCATGAGTTTGCTCTATAAAAGAATGAAAATATATAAAAAATATAGAAAGCAATATTAATGAAAAAAAGGTTATATTTCATATCTCCAATATTAATTTGAAAAAAGTTTGATATTATGAGAAAAAAGTTCATAATACATATCCAAGAGGTACCTTACAAATATTAGATTGGACATATATTTGATACAAATATGTAAGTGATTCAAGTATTTGCCCTTATAGTTCAAGCTTCTTTATTATTCTAGTGTGAATTGTCCGCATCATATTAGTGATATTCTATTTCAATTTTCATCTTCATGGGCAAAGAACTTTTACATTGTAGTTGAATTTGCCTTATTATCACGGACTTACCTGGTTTTGCTTAAGTTGTGCAACATCCTTTCGTGTTTATCCGCAAAGGGTTAGTCTCCAAAAACCTCTTATGGTTCCTTAAGGACATGCAAAAGAGAAGAAACGTTTAATTCAGGATATCACAAACAGACATTTCAACAAACACTTGATAGACAATGCAAATTACAAACATAGACTTTGCAAGCTCTGATTAATAGCACGACAAAGGGTCTAAGGTGCCACCATAGCCAAAAGTTCCCACAGATGCCCACATGACATTGTTGTGGAACAAGACAATGAACCAGGCTTAGGCATTGCCCCAAAGGCACATCCAGCCATGTGCCACCCGAGTAGCTCCTAGGTGCAGTGCTGACTGACACTTCACACCACTCTACAAAGCTACAAAACCCTAGAATGACTATCTGGATAATCTTTTTTTTGGGCAATTTTGCTTTTGTGTGACGACTGCACAAGACCTACACTTATAGGACTAAAACGACCACAAGTGCTAACCAAAATGGGGCTGCTAAGTCTACTGCAAGCCTTCTACATGCTGTGTAAAGCAGGAACAAAACTGAAAGATATGGACATATATAAGCATTACATTGAACCATGTGTACAGATTTATTCGTGATATTCTCTCCTACTTATTCTTTTTATGTCCTCGTTGAAGCCTTTATAGACGTTGTATCTTCTTGCCTTTGCTGAATCTTTAATCTTTTGCTCCAGTTGCAACACTTCTCTTGGCTCCCAATTGCTCTTCGGCTGTTGTTGAGTTATCGAACTTTGATTCACCAATGCTACTTCAACTCGCCAATGACTCTGGGGTGAGGTCGGTCGAGTTGTGTTGATTTTTCTTGGTTTCTGCAGATCCCTTAAATGAAGAAAAGGACCTTCTTATTGTGCGCCAGTCTCTTAAACGACTCGCGCCGCTTGAATTGGGTGGATGCTTGGTGGAGCTTTAACAAGCATTGACTCGCGAACTTTGAAGTTTTGAGGTTTTTCCTCCATAAAATTTGTCCATCGATTTCTCTTTTACTTAGTTGTCACCTCAAAGTAGGTTCACATCACTCCTACCTTCGATTGATATTCTGTTGGGAAATAAAGCAGATAATCTACTCTCGATGAAATCGACTACCATTGGTGAGGATTTGACAATTGTTGTATTTGACTAAGTTTCTTTAAAAGGTCTTTGAACATGTGCAAAGCTCTTCTACTGGATAAATAAGAGAACTGGGGTATTCGGTTTCGTCCATCCTCTTAAGAGTTGAGAAGTCAAAGGTTACTTGACCTTGCCCGCCTCCTTGAGGGTTGTGCTTCATGCATCAAACCGGTTCCTAGCTTTCGCCTGCTTTTTGCTCACACTTCTGAAACACCTAAAGTATTTGTACTCCTCATGTTGAGTTAGCTATTGCAATCCGCTTTCTCATTGTCATCAAACTTATGGAATGTTAGAAATTTTGCTTGAAAAAAGTAAAAATTTACCCTGACTTGGAGAAAGTCTTCAATAGTTTTGATCGCCTTTGGGATTATACCATATTCTCCATCATTTCCATTGCCTACTAAGTAGAAAGGGTACAACATCATGTATTGCCTACTCCATTCCTTGATTGAGCACTCTTGCATTGACTCAAAGTTTCCATTTTCGGCTCTCTTGATGAGAAGCCCATTGACATCGATCTTATGAAGTTCCCTAGTCTCTGTCCTTCGGACTTGTCTTGCTATCTAGAGTTTGCATCTGCATTCTCCACATCCTTGGCCCATTTTACGACTATGCACTCTTCTTCCATGAGAGGAAGGGGGATCGATGACTCTACGTAACTCCCCGCTTCTGCGGTACCATGGTATTACCTTGCCATGCCCATGACTCTACTATCCATCACCTTACATCTGCGTCCTTTTTTTGTGATTGATGGATTTGCCTCTACGACACTGTGGCATTCCTCTAATTCCACTTCCATTTTAACCGACGCTTGATTTTGGTTAGCCAAGTCCCTTTCGACTCGTCATTGTTTTCTCGTCCCTTTCTATCACTTGCTTTAACACATTTGTATTCTCTGAGCAATTTCTCTTGGTTGATGGAAAGACAAGCTACAACTCCCATGCATAGCCTCTGCCATCATGTTGCAGGGCTTATGCTGATTTGTTCTCCTTTACGTCCTTGGTAGCAACGTTTGCTCACTTGGTCTTGTCTTTTACAAGCTCCCTCAAGCGAATATGAGCTCTGGAGCAGTCTAACTCTCTAGTCGCTTCGATCATACCTCAGTATGATCAAGTTCTCCCCTATAGGACTCATTGGTACTTGCACACGGAATCCCCCTCGGTGGTACACAATCCCATATGTTGATGACCAAGGCTTTTATTTGATGTACGCACGGAAAAGTTGCCTCTGTGGTAGTAGTGGTACCATGACATTCACTCATTGAATCCATAGCTCTTTTTGTTGTCGTATTGTTCACCAAAGTGGAGCTCCCAAAAGCTCCTGATCATACCTCTGTATGATCAAGTCCCTCATGGGGCTTCTCTTATGTGTATCGCATTGCCTCAAATTGTTCTATCATAATATGTTGCACTATGTCATCTCGTGGCGATATCTCCATTGCATTTGATCTTTGTGGGATGAACTTAGAGTACGATCTCTCCATGTGTGGTTTCTGCTAACACATCGCAGGGCCTCCGCCATCTCTGATTGTGCTCGCTCCTTTGGCAGTTGACCTTCGTTCACTTGCTCTCGGGTCACCATACGGATGAAGTAGGTCTAGGATAGTCCGTCACTCAATAACTCTCGAAGTCTATTGACTTTACTGAAATCAGTGCACTATTGTCTAGATCCTAGGCCCTTGCTCCTAGCACAATCTTCACTACACAACTTCTTTTGTGGCAACTTGAATGGCAGCAGTGCGACATATTCTTCAAGTGTATCTTCTTTCTTGTCCTCTTGTCCCGTGCCAAGACCTTTTGACCTTAACTTCGTCTCTACAAGTTGAGTCGTCTTAATCCTTCCGTCAATTGCCTCGTCAAGATAAGGTTTATGTGCCTCGAAGCTCTTTTCGATTTTGGCACCATATAAGATGAGTCTGATCCATCAAAACGAGGGACCCATAGAACAACATAATCTTGCTCTTGCCTCTGTAAGAGTTCATGTTTTTGACCACTGTCTAAGGAAAGCTTCGTGCCTTTGCTCCATGTTTCGTCTTCTATGTCGACTCCCTTCATACGACCCGGGCACTTCACCAAGTTTTACCCAAGTTGCTATGTTCCTCAATTTGTATTGAGTTAATGGTGGCCCTCTTGCCTGTCATTTTATGTGTCAGCCCTCTATTGAGTTCGATCTCTATATCGTCTCTAAGTGTGCTTTCGTTTAGTGTTATTGCCTAGGGTCACTCCCCCACTTGATCTCGTAATGCGTCCTCCAATACATTACCTCGTAGGAGATTATACAACTCCTCGCCACTTGCTTGAACCATTGATTTTTATGGAGTTGTTATCTTAAGGTATCCCCTCAACATGTGCGGTCTGTTGCACATAATTCTCCTTTTGGATAACTGGGACTTATCCCTTTTGGATATTTGTTGGAACAACTTTTTTCGTCGGATCCTTCCCTTTAGAAGTTTTAGTGATCATCATCCCCTTGGACTACTCCATCTTGTTAAATAAATTGTGCACTGTTTGGCCATCACGAACACACTTGCTAGATTGCGACTCTTTGCCAATATAGCCCTCGCTGCGCTCCTCAAGGCCTACCAACATGCTGAACTTACTACACACTTGAGCCTTCTATGGACGTATCTTTCTCATGCTTTATGACGTCGAGTTTCGGTCACCTTGGGATGGCTATGGATAGTCCATTGTCCGCATATAAGCCCTTGCATGAGTATTGAATTCTTTGACTTAGCAATTTCCCTCGCCTCTATGAGCTTTGCACAACTTTTTCAATCATTGAGCGACTCATCCCTCCTTGTATGGTCTCTTCCTTTACTAAGCGCCTCACTTGCCTTGAGCACCGTCAAGTTTGGTTGTCAACATCGAGCAATAGCTCGAACTCAACCATCCTAACCTTTGTGTGTTATGCATTCTTTCTAGCTCACTTGTCGTCATTGTGCCTCGCGTGAAGGGTTGGCCATTCTTTTGAATATCAATCTCGGATGCTTGCTCCTTTGAGCAACTCTTTCCTTGCGTCTCTACGTTCGTTTCCCTCAAATGGTCGTGCGTGTTGGCTACCCTCAATGCAGCCCCGCTAAGTCCCCCATATTTATATGCCAAGTGTTCCTAAGTGTGATTGTCTCGCTCTAACACTATCTATTTTTATCACGGGCTTAGTTGGTTTTGCCTAAGTCGTGCGACACCCTTACGTGTCCATCCGCAAAAGGTCAACCTCCCGAAAACCTCTTATGGTCTCTTAAGGGTCTGCAAAAGGGAAGACGAGTGAGAGAAAACATTTCACTCAGGATTTCACAAATAGATATTTTATTAAATATTTGATAGACAATTCAAATTACAAACATATATTTCGCAAGCTCTAAATAGTCGCACGACAAAGGGTCCAAGGTGGTCCATTGTGGTCAAAAGTTTCCACAAGTGCCCACATGACATTGTTGCAAAACAAGGCAGCGAACTAGTCGTAGACACTACCTACCCCAAAGGCCCATCTAGCCATGTGTCACATGGGTAGCTCTTGGGTGCAATGCTGGTTGACACTCTGCATTACGCTGCGGAGCTAGAAAACCCTGAAAATAGTTGTCTTGATGAACTGTTTTTGGGTAGTTTTGCCTCTACACGATGACTACACAACCTGTATTTATAGGACTAAAATGACCATAAGAGCTAACCAAAATGGAATTGTCAAATTTACTGTAAGCCCTTTACATGCTGTGCAAAGCATGAACAAAATTGAAAGATATGAACATACACAAACATTACATTGAACACCTACAGAATTATTCGTGATATTATGTCCTAGCTGATTTTACTTTAAGATGATTAGCTCCAGGGAATGACTTAAACTAGTTCTGAGCAAGATTCTTGATCCTGCCTCGATCGGGTGACATTGACTGGTCATTTCTGATGGTCCTGTCTGGTTTAAAGAAAAACAAGTTCTAAAAACCCTTGATGCCTTTAGGGCTGGCAAGCCCTCTTGGTCTCACCGAAGTGTTGCTATTGTTGTCAGTTACCACCCATCCACCTACAGCCTGTTGTTACTTGTCCACCCTCCGCTTGCACTTGTACTTGTGCCTACCTCTTCATCGGTAATTCTCCTCTTCTTCTTGTCCTCCTTTTCCTCGTCATCCTTTTTCTTGCTTTCTTCTTCGTTCCTCATCCTTCTTGCTCCTCCTCTTTCCCTCCGCTGGGTACTGTAGGATGTTCTGGCATTCCATGTATCGGTATGCAGAAATGGACCTGGCGGATCCGGTGCCTGAAAGGACTTTTACTGGTCTGGTACCTAAAATTGGAAATCTTGGTTCTGTGCCAGCTTTACAACATTGGCTGATTCCTATATGAAACAATTGTGTTAGTATGGTCTGATTTAGTCTTTTTCTCAGTCTTGTAGCTACCAGAATCAGCTCACACCGATTGAGCTCGGTTATAGTTAATTGACTTTGGGCAATTCCAACCAATTTGATAGCATAACAGAAAGAGGAAAAAAAAAAAGAGTGGGGAAGAGTGAAAGAAGGGGAGGTAGCAGAAGGGGAAGACAAGAAAGAAATATGACCAACTATGGTACAAAGTAATACTACTACTATGAAATTTGCTATTTGTTGCTATCATCACAAATATAATGTTCACCATTTCGTAAGACAGGAAAGGATGAAAAATATCTATCCATTTTAAATCTTCTTCCAATTGGATTAATGGATCTTCCGATTGGAAATGATAACCGAATACATAGGTCATTAGGAGTTCTAATAAGCATATGCATATAGTATACCATCGAAACATCTTATTTTCTTTATGAGGAAGAGAGAAAATGGTAGAGCTGATGAATATCGGCAAAACAAGTATTGTTAACCAAGGAAAACTTTAAGAACTAAAATGACAATTGTTTCCGATTAAATCACATTAGCAAATGTCAAATACTTTGCATTTGAATTCTTAAAATTACCTAGATGTTGATTGCTTCTTGTAGAAATATTTTGCTTGTAATATTTCAGTACCTTATTCGAACATTGTGAAATTTGTAGGTTGCCTTCTTGACCTCCGCAATTGGACCAAGAGTTGCTGCAGCTTGTGCAAGTGCAGCATTGTCTATCCTGACTAGAGAGGACTCCAGGTTAGTGCTAAAATGCTTTCAGTTCTTCATGGGATTGGTACATGATTGCAATCGTATTATGGTGCTCAGTATTTACATTAGTATTCAATTTAAATTGTTACTTTTCTCTTCAAAAGATGTGAGGTGATACAAGACATGCTAAAATCAGTTGTACATGTTTTAGTATTACATTTATATTCTTCCTGGTGCCCAATCTAGCATATCATTCTAGTTTTCTTTATTGCTTTATATACACATTTAGAGGCCACTGTTTCTGCTGTCAATTAATTATATTTCACTTCTTTTACATGTTTGAAGGATCAGATCTGAGAGCTGGCATTCCGAAGTTGGCATCTGTGGGCCACATGGAAACTTGGGTCCTCACAAAGGTATATTGCTGATATTCTTCTGGTTTAGATTTCATGATTGTGGAAGTTGTCCCTTGATATTTTAATTCACTGTCAGATGGAACTCTAGAAGGTCAAGTGCCACAGTCTACTTCGCTTGCTCCTGAACTTGTGAAATATGCTGCCATGTGTGGCCTATCTGCAGCTGCAGTGAAAGCAAAATTATTTGCAGATCAAGAGGAGCGTGAAATTCAGAGACTGGCTGCAACTATCATAAATCACCAGGTTTTATTAGTGTTTGTTGCTTCTTTCATGATTTATGGTACATTTGAGATGGATAATTGGTAGTTTGATTAGTTTGGCCGATTTTGACGGGTAAACTGAAAACAAGTTCTTGGGTGAATTTGATGGAAGAATTTAGAATAATTCACTGAATAGGAATTCACAACTTTTGCTTCCAATGCAAGATAAAGAATTGGTTGTCTTGCCTCTGCTTGTTACCTTCTTCACAATTTACTGTTTAAACTTTTAGAGTGTAAATTTTTATGCTGAAGTCCTTTACAATCAGGTTAATAATATTCCTAATTAACTGGGACATCCAATTAAGCAAGCTAATGGTGTTTTTTCAAATAATACTGCCATGATGCTTTTTCACATGCTACAAATGAGTAATGAAATCCAGAAAGTGAAATGGCTAGATCCACTTATTTTCCCAGAAACAGTTATGGATATGGAACGCATTAATGATGTTTCCATTCCTAATTGACCACTTGGTTTGTTCGCATGGGGATTGTAAACTTTGATGAAATTTAAACTTTAAAGTATGACAGATCGAAAGAGTTTTTATGTAAATATGTGCAAATTTCACTTTTGTAGGTGCACCCATGCTCAAAGGCAGCTCAAGTTGCATATACAAAATTTTGGCTGCACAATTACTCCTGAAAAACCAATATTCTTTTTAAAGCTTCTCGAGGAAAAAATTGACATTTTTAATGAATTCTATTACAAAAAGGTTCATCTTCAATATTCTTTGACAATCATGATCTGCATAAATTATTGCCTCTTGCTTTCACACCTAAAAAAAGAAATAAAACCCAGGGGCCCCCTACAGCAGTAATGACTTTTTGGTATTATAAATTTGGTAGATTTAAGTTACATTCAGCCTGTAATCAATTAGCAGAGTTTAAAGTTCAACAACCCCGATGATGAAATTGGCCTTACCTTTAATTATTACTAATAAGCTCCTTAGTGAGTAAAACGGTTACATTTTCCCCTTCCCTTTTTTCTCTTCTTCCTTTATCTTCACCTCTCTTTTTTCCCACACTTTCTTCCTTTTGGATCAACCTAATCCTTAATTTTCTTTTTTCTCTCCTTCTTTCATCATCCTCTATCCGTATTTGCTTAACTTGTTGCTTATTGGTTAAAACTTTTATTGGTGAAAAAAACTATCACGGAGGTGTTTGTTGTAATTCTCTCATAATGGAAGTTTCTTGTGTTGCTAAAACTTTGATTAACTCAAGGGTATTTTTTGTACATGTCAAGCTTGAGTTAATTGGACTCTTTAGGTAATCATATATCATGGATATTTAGGGCCTCACCGATGTTGCAGGGAGCAAAGTGTTACTATCTAGGAACACATAGGGTGCAAATTATAGTTAACAATTAGGAAAGGCGTAAATTTTGATTTCTAGCAAACATAACGTTTGAATTAAATATTTCTTAAAAGTCATGTTAGCATTTAAGTGATTCCTCAAATATCAAACCACCTGAACAAGAACAAAAATAAATTGACGCTAGGAACATATGCTTGAAATATTGTTAATGTTGAAATTCATGTTCTTGAGTTGGGTTGACATGTGCTGTACTTTGAACACAATGAACTTCAAAGTGGCATTTTACTGACATTGCACTTCTTTGATCACATTTCGACTATAATCTATTAAATTTCCATATCTGTATTGGCTGTTATGAAAAGAGTACTAAGGATATACTTGGAGTGATTTTAATAGTGCTTAGCTTAGTCCTGCTTGTCGTAATGCAATGATGTTTAGTATTATTGTAAAATTCCAAGGTTAATTTTGATCTTATGTTTTCAAAAATTGTGTTTGTAATGTTGCAAGTTTGAATTTGAACTCGTGTCCGAAAATCATGGTTATGTGCAGCTAAAGAGGTTGGAGCTGAAGCTGAAACAGTTTGCAGAATTGGAAACCTTACTGCTCAAGGAATGTGAACAGGCTGAGAGGATGAGACAAAGGCTTTCATCTGAACGCCTCCGAATGATGTCCACCCGATTTGGATCAGCAGCAAACAATTTATCATCATCATCATCATCATCATCATCATCATCAGTAGCAGCGGCTGCGCCAACCGCTGTCAGTGCAAATACCGTGCCGCCTACCATGTCACCCTCGGTTGGGCAGGTGAATGTGCCAGCTACTTATGGCAGCAATCTTCCCGGCCATCGGCAGATGCAGTTCATGCAACGGCAGCAAATGTTTGGTTTTGGGCCGCGGTTACCTCTCTCGGCAATCCACCCTGCTCCTGCCCCCTCTCAAAATGTCACGTTCAGTTCTGGTGTACCTAACACTTCGACTCCTAACCATCATCCATTGTTAAGACCCTCATCGGGGAATAATCAATAGGATAAAAATGTTTATTCTGTTGTTCATGTTGATCATTGTAACGTGTCTGAGCATAGTTTTAACAGATAATGTGAGTTGATCGTCAGAATAGTCTTTGTCGAATTGCTTGGCTTAGTTTCTTCCCTCCAGCTTTCATAGCTCCTCTGCTGACCTACCGACATCCACTTGTTGGTTCTAACGATAACTCGGCCTTTGCCAATCAATTTCTCAGTACTTATCACATTAGGTTTTCAATCTCCATACTAAAAGCCCTGATAAGTGAAAACTGTACATCCATAACAGATGTGAGACACAGAAGACAAGCTTGTTGCTACAATTACAAAGGAAAAGCTCGGGACGCCATGGGGAAGACTCACATGAGACAAATACGATCGAGTTCTATCTTCATCAAAGGAGTAATCCATAAAAAGGTATAAGTTTTTGTCAACCCAATCTTTGTTTCCTCGCCATTGGTTTGCAAATTGGCATAGCAATTAATGAACCCCTCATTTCATTCATATAGTTTGTCCACTGTCATGTCAATTAATGGAGTCCAAACCTTCTCTATGTAATATGATGGGGGTAGTTAACTGTCTCCAATTTCCTACCTTCTCTCTATGGCATGCAAGCCACGCGACTGAGACTTGTGGAAGGAGTCTAAAAGAGACGTCCTACATGTAATAATGCCACACACTGATGTAATGGAGTCCAATTAATGGTTATATATAATGATTTTACAATGCATGGCTTGTTAGATATCTTATCAGAATATATTAGGAGGTTAAAAGAAATGTTCATTTAGCTAAAAAGGACTTGTAGTAACTCTGCAATAATCACACACACACACAATCTCTCTCTCTCTCTCTCTATCAACCTTTTCTTTTTGTTTTCTTTTGCTACACTTTTCTTCTTCTTCCTCTCCTTCTCCTCTTTTCCTTCTCTTATTAGCTGCTTAAGAAAGTTTGAAGGAATTCCTACAAAACTGTCCATCCCACTTACATTTTTTTATTATTCCATTTACTTGCATGCTTTGTGAAAGAAAATAATTATCATCAACTTGACTTGATCAAATAAGGCAGGCAAATAAAACAAGGAGTGAGATGGAAGGTTGTGAATGAAGTTTTTATGACTTGTATGCATAGAATATCCACCTACATGGAATTTTGCATTCATGGGAAAGATATTGGATTATAGACTCAGGTCAGGCTAAGATATTAGATTAAGTCTCTTAAAAGAAACTTGAAGGGTAGGCTAAACCCTCTTTGTTTCCTTGCCCTTGCTGTGTAGATTAACTTACCAAAGGTGATGAATCCATCCCCCACCTAATTCAATGGTTTGGCCACTGGTCATTGTCTCTCAATATTTCTAATCCTCCTTCATTAACATGCAAGCTGTTGCTGCTTGGACTTGTCCAATTCAAAATTTCAGGTCAAGTGGTGATGGAACCCAACCCATCCTTCATTCATAAAACAGCCATTAAGACCATAATAAGCTTTATCTCAACATTTATGTGTCTCTGTACAATCTATTAAGATGTTGTATTAAGAATGTGACAACATAACATGTTGTAGTTAATGCTTATTTAAAATGTTCATTTATTATTATAAGGACTTTGGCAAACTTGGAACAAAATGACAGTGTGACATATTTTGAGGGCAATCAGTTACTTGTGTCATAGATTACTTAGGAGAATTTTGTAAGTTTAATGTTATAGATATTATGAGATTACATAAAAGTTTATATTAAACACTAATTTGATCTGATGCTTTTCTTCCTTGTGATGATATATATGATTGTAAAGTCATTGAGGATTTTTACATCCCACATTGGTTTTCTTATTAGACAAATTAAATATTATGTACAAGATTTTATCAGGAAAAACAAATAATTTAGATGTAAAATAGAAAAATGGATAGATGATTTTGAGTAAATTCTCTTGCAAAATAATACCATGGAAGGGAATAATGCATTACAATTTCTAATTATCAAATTTCTATAAGTATTTGGATCTATGTAAACTCACATGAACAAAAATTGGCTTAATAAAGATCAAATATGCATGAGATTTGATTTCAAGAAAGAAACTTGAGGTTAGGTTTTTTGCAAAAAACCCCCTCTTTGTTTGCTCACTCATAGGTTTGATGAGTCACTATCATTAATAATTATAAAAAGTCAAATCATCTTGTCGGATTCAAAAAAGCAAAAATAGACTTTTATAATTTTTTTTCTTATAAGAACAAAAAAGAAAATTTCTTATTATACTCATTATACTTACTTGGTCAGAAGAAAATATTGATTAGAATACTTAACTTATTTGAATCGGTCCCAACTTAGACTTTTGACAAAGATCCTTAGTGATGTGCTCTTGATATTTGATGTGGGGTCAATTTGTACTTAAGACTATTATTAGATAGGGATTCCTTCTCCACATGATCCGTCCAATGTCTATTTTAGGTTTCTGGAAGTAGAGATTAAGCTTATATGAAAGTGTGAAGGATAAGACTTAGATAATTATATCCTGATTTATCTCTTATAGTCGATCATTTCTTAATTGCTATCAATCAAAAAAATATTTTATTCATTTAAAAAAATATTTTTCTATTCGACAAATGCTAATAAACATTATAATATAAAATTATTATCGCCTCCTTGCACGAATGCCATGTGTTGAGTTTCGATTGGATAAGAATGTGTTCACTATAAATACTAGAGTATAAAATTATTATTTTTAGTATTATCCATATATCTTATATTTTTTTACATAACATACAATTTACATTATTTTTATAATTTTGTTAAATCTATGAGTCAAAATAAATCTATCCATCCATCCATCCATGTTCAATTCAATCAATGACTCATGCATCCAAAGGTTCAAATGGTCAACGTCCGGTCCGATACCCTCTCATACATAGTCTTCTATAGAAGGAAGGTAAGTAAATCTCGAATAATAAACCACCTTCATTTGACTACCTCTTATAGTTTACACGATGATGGCATCAAATTCTTCATTTGCAAAACAATTATCACTACTTTGACTTGCTTCATCACCACCAACACACAACTTAATTAAAATTAATATTACATTAATCTACAACTCGGATGACCTATTTTATTTATCGAATTATTATATATGTGCCGGCCACTAATTAATATGATTTATAATTTTTATTAGTATATTATTGTATACATGATAATTTTATCCACATTTGAAGGTGATGTTTTTCACTATTTAATATAATATATATATATTTTCTAAAAATATATAATGAAAATATATTTTAATTTTTAAAAATATATTGAAAAATAAAATATCCTTATCATCAACATCATCATCATCATCATCATCATCACTATTATTGTTGATGATACGAATTAGGTTACGAAGCAATGATCAATGTGACAAGGGAAGAGAGACTATGGGCCCCACCCCATCTGTGTACCCTATCCCTTCATGACCTTAAAGTACTACGACTTAGGATAATATTTTCAGAATTATTATTGTATGGAATAATAGTGAGGAGGTGAAGACGTCGCCGGCGACAACGCTGCAGTTAAAGCCATTTCGCCATCGACGTGAGAGACTCGCTTGGGATTGCGCTGTTAAATGATCCGAATTCGACGTGGCCCAATTCCACCGTAACCGTGTGATTACCGTCACCCCGACGGAGCCCGACGCACAAAGAACGCACGTAACGAGGAACTCGGCGTGCAGTGTAAGAACACAGCTCTCGAGTCTCCGCCGATTGCGTGCCAAAAAGATTTCGTGGCGATTTTGTGTCCGATCGTAGAAGAAAAGATCTCCTTTGTTGTCCCTTCCCCTACCTCGGTTTCAGATCTACTTTGTGGACTTTTTCGTTGTCTTTTTCTTTCCTACGTATATTGAGGCCTCTGGGGCTGGCCTTTCGCTGTCGGCGTCTTTGGAGCGTGAAGTTTGGAGCTTTGGGGATCAGGAGCGATGGGGAGTGGAGGGGAGGAGAGGGGGAAGGGGGCGGGCTTCGATGGCGCGATGGCGGCGGAGCTGGTGGCGGGACTGAGGCGGAGCTTCGCGTCCGGGCGGACGCGGAGCCACGAGTGGCGGGCGGCGCAGCTGAAGGGAATCGTGAGGATGATCGACGAGAAGGAGTCGGCCATCATGGCCGCGCTCCACGAGGACCTCGCCAAGCCCCAGATGGAGTCCTACCTCCACGAGGTGCCCGAATCCTCATCCTTGTTCTGTCTTTTTCTAGCCCTCGGTTTTCAGCCGCTGCAAAGTTGTGATCTTGTTGTAGGTACATGATGATGTTCCTACCAAATTGGATTACTTGTAGCTGCATGTTTATGCTGCCGTAGTATTTATTGTCTGCACGAACTTGTAGGAGTCTCGATACAAAAAAACTTCTCTATGCAATCGGATTAATTAGCGAGACAGGGAATTTAGTGGATTAGTCCTCTGATGTCCTTCATTATTTGGTTACAAATGATAATTTGATAGCTAGTTTTTAGTTATTTTCTGCATCTTTAATTGCTATCCGAGAGTCATTAATATTGTGTGAATTTATCATGGACCGATTAACACAATTATATCTTTTGTCTCGATAACAAGCCATATGGAGTCGGTCAGAGTTTTCTTGATGAGAAAATTTCCTATTCAGCTTTAAGGCATAGGTGGAGTGTAAGATGTCGATATAACAGTTCTTGGTTTTTGCATTCTGTCATTGCTGCATATGTTTCAACTTGGGATGTTGTAGTTATGTTAAGCTGATTTCTACTTGATACCTCCAAGTTCTAATAGCAATTGTTAAATCAATTATTAAATCTATTTCAAAGTTCAAATCAATCAAGAAATTTACATTGGAGAGTGATTTATATATGTTTAGTTCTGTAATCAAATCACAAATGGTTAGTCAAAGCAGAGACACTTTGCGGCGAAATACTATCTCCTGTCTGCTTGTGTTATACGATATTTGTCTGGTTATGGTGGATATAATGACTCAATTATTCATGCTCATATCCTCGGATTTGATTGTTACTAAAAAATTTGCAGTAATACACCGAAATAATCATAAATTAGCATTCAACTAACCATAAAGATAAATTCATACAGAATTTAACAGTTGTCATTATTAGCATAATTCGAAAAT